AATTAAAAAAAAAAAAAAAAAAAAAAGAAAAGAAAATTAAAGCAGGGCTGGGGACATAGCTCGGCAGTCTAGGAGCCTGCCTGGCAAGCAGAAGGACCGAGGTTTGATCCCCAGGACCACAGACCACGCCAGCCCCGCCCCCAGGGCAGGCTGAGCCTGCCAGAGCCTGGGCGTGGTGGTGCATGCCGGCAATACGAGTGCTGGGGAGGCTGAAAGCAGGAGGAGCACCACGAGTCCAAGCTGCACAGTGAGACCCCGCAACAACCAAATACATAAAAGAAAAAAAAGATAAGAAAGGAAATTAGGCTTGGGGGAAGTTTACTAGAAGAGCGCTTGTCTAGCAGGTGCAGGCTGCTGAATACCATTCTCAGCATCCCAAATAAGAAAATTAGTGTGAATACAAACTGGAACAGCCTTTCTCGAGGCAATCTGAGACTACATATTAAACAGTCTAGTACCTATAGAAATCTGTTTTCCATTCTGTTTCTATAGACTTGTCTTAGTGAAGTAATATCAGATATGGTAACAAACAGGCAATATCTTAGCTGTGTGGGCAGCTGCAACAGAAATGTCAGTTCTCACAGCTTTGGAGAGTGGGCAAAGATAGTGGCCAAGGGTTCAATGTGGCGACCCACACCTGTAATCCCAGCATGTGGGAGGCTGAGGCAGGAGGATCACTAGAAGGCTGAGGCCCAACTGGGCTACACAGCAAGTCTAAGGCCATCCTGAACTAACTATATAGTGAGACCCGGTCTCAAAACCACAAAACAACAAAATGACGGTGGCCATTTCAGTTCGGGCTGAGAATTGTCCTCCTGTTTTTCGGATGGCCGTCTTCTTACCATGTCCCTCTATGGCCTGTCCTCGGCAGATGCAGTTTTCTCTTCCTCTTCTCCTCCCCCATCCCCCATTACCTCCCTTGATGACCTCCTATAAGTCCTTTCCCCAGATACGGCCACACTGCGGGTAAGAGGTCCAGCATATGCACAAGGGACACTAGCCAGCTCCAGGCAGACGGCATGTTAGTTACTCATTATTTGGGGCAGAAACATTTGGAAACAACCGAGATGCTCATCAGTAGGTAACCGAGCAAGGTATGGTGGGGTAGACACTCATGGAACAGAACAGAATGGTGGGAGATGCAGATGTAAAAAACCTATTCTTTAGGCTGGGAGTAGTATCACATTCCTATAATATGAGCTATGTGGGAGGCTGAGGTGGGAGGCCATAATATCAAGGCCAGCCTGGGCAACTTAGTGACTAACTACTTGAAAATAAAAATTAAAAAGGGCTAAGGATAGGGCTGGCCAGATAGCTCAGCGTACTGAAGTGCCTGTTTAGGCAGGCACAGGGGCCGGGCTTTGATCCCTGGTGTGCTGTGCTAGCCCCGCCCCCGGGGTGCAATGAGCTGGTGACTGAGACTGAGCATGGTGGCGTGTACCTGTAATCCTAGTGCTTGGGATGCTGAAAACAGGAGGGTTACTAGAAGTCCGATCTGTGTGGTAAGACTCTGTACACCCTGTAGTAAATACATTAAAAATAAAGTGGGGGCAAGGATATAGCCGGCACCCCTTAGGTTCAGCCCCCAGTGTGCTGGGGCTGACAAGTGACATGAATGCAGTTCATACCCTGATGCCTAGTGAGGGGCGCAGCACAATGCCCACCAGGCCTGGGTTGGAGCCGGAGCAGCAGCCCCTGCCAACAAAGCCAGGAACACAGACTGTTTATGTTGTATGGTTCCTTCTCAGGACTTGGACAGATGCACACATACAGAAACAAACAGAACCTAGGAACATAGCAGCAAAACAGCAAAATGGAAGCTGGGCATGGTGGCACATGGCTGTACTCCCAATGCCCGGGAGGCTGAGACAAGCAGATCATCCCAAATAGGAGGCCAGCCTGGGCTACATAGTGAGGTCAAGGCCAGTCTGAACTACACAGCCAGACCTTGTCTCAAAGAACAAAACAAACAAAATCCACCAATGTTAACTGTAGTGATCTCGGAACTAAAGAACTATGACCTTTTACTTTCTTCCTTACAATTTTTATTTATTTATTTATTTATTTATTTATTTATTTATTTTGACACCAGGGATCAAACACAGGACCTTGTGCTTGCCAGGCAGGTGATACACTGCTGAGCTATCTCCCGGCCCTATAGTTCCAATTTTGTTAAACATGTGTATCTTATATAATACAAAGGGCTAAACAATAAATTAATCATGTGTAGTGGGTTTAGTAGCAACCCCTCATATTTATTTAAGGTCCTAGACCCCTTGAACTTATAAATATGAGCTTATGGGGGAAAGGATCTGTAGAGATGCGGTTAAAAGTGAAGAGCCCGAAGAGGAGCTCATCCTGGACTCAGTGAGTCCTAAAGCTGACGACACCTCCTTGTAAAGGGAAAGGCTGCGCACACAGAGCTGAGCACCCGTCGCTCAGCTGCGTGCTGCTGGCAGCCACTGGAGCGGCAAGAGCAGTGTGCAACAGACTCTCCCCTGGAGTCTCCCTAGGAACAGACCTGCCCACGCCTCCATGACAAATGTCCTGTCTCCAGAACGGTGAGAAAACAAATTTCTGTGGCCTTCAGCCATCAAATTTGTGGACTTTATTATGGTAGGCCTAGGAGACTAATATACCACATAAAGATACAAAACTCATTCAACAGACACTAGAATACGCACAATTTTTACTTCTTTGAAATAAACTATAAAATAAGTGTGTGAGACTGTGCGTGGACAGGCACACGTGGATAGGTATACGTGTATTCCATTTTAATTCCTCTTGAGCAGATGCTCCGAACACAATGTGTCCCTAGCCAAGAGCCACAATACAGCGACACCCACAAGCATTCCCATCTCTAGGTATTCGTGTTTCTACACAGGTCTGTGGCCGAAAAACGAGTTACTCCCCAGCAGCTCCCAACACTCTTCCATACTTACTGATTCCTTTCTCTTTGGGAGCTATCTTCTCCAAGTCTTTTAACTGAAATACATCTTTCTGTTTAAAGGGGTAAAAGATAGAAGAAACAGATATTATTTTCTACTGTATATTTATACTTTCCATGACTATATTTATGAAACATATTAAAAACCTATGCCTGAGAGCCAGGGATATAGCTCAGTGGCACAGCACCTGCATGGCAAGTGCAAGGTCCTGAGTTTGATTCCTGGTATAAAAAACCACCTATAAACAAACAACCCTGTGCCTGAAAATAAACTGAGCAATAAAATCAGGCACTTTAAAACTAATGAGATTTTGTGATTATCTCATTCAACAATTTCCATAAAGCTTAAAATGGACAGACTTTTGCAGGAATATATGACTGAAGTACTTGGAGATCAGAAGAACAACAAAACCTATCTGCTATCTTAGTGCTGAAGCAGAAAAACTTGCTTGATTAGCTGGTAACGGGGCGGGGGGGGAGAGAAAGAAAGAGCGAGACAGACAGAACGAGCGAGCAATCTTTACTTAGAACATATCACACTATACAGATTTAGCAGTTCTAACTAAAAGTGAAGAAAAAAATTGCCAGATTTGTTTATATTTAAGGTCTCATGAAGTAGTTACACCTACACAACAGAAATTATACCTTCCATGACTGTCTCTGAATTTTTTTTTTTTTTTTTTTTTGTTTATATTTAAGGTCTCATGAAGTAGTTACACCTACACAACAGAAATTATACCTTCCATGACTGTCTCTGAATTTTTTTTTTTTTTTTTTTTGAGGGGGTGGGGGGGGGAGAACCAGGGACTGTACTCTGGCCCTTGAGCTTGCCAGGCAAGTGCTTATTCTAATGAGCCATCTTCCTGGCCTCCAGATGCAAAGGAAAACATGGAAAACTAGCGTGTATAGCCTAAGGAGGAAAATTTACACCGAATAGTTCTTTCTGTTCCTAATAGATGTGGCTTAACTGGGGAAAATAAGCTGGATAGTGAAAGGGAAATTATTTTAAAAGGTTAAAGTATTCAAATGGAACCTCTAATCCTCTTTCTTCTCAGTACTGGGGATTGAACTCAGGACCCTGTGCTTGCCAGGCATTTATTCTACTGAGCTGCCTCCCCATAATCCCAGCTCCCCAAGGAGTCTCCACACTGATTCCCACAGTGGCTGTGCCAGTCCGCACTCTACCAACAGTGCAGAAGGCTTCCTTTATCCCGCAGCCCACCCAGCATTTGTGATTATTGGCTTATTTCTTGATGACAGCCCTTCTTTCTGGGGTGAGATGGAATCTCAGTGTTGTTTTCATTCGCTTTCTTGAATGACCAATGATGTTGAACATCTGTTCATATATTTACTTGCTGTATGTATTTGTGCATCTGAGAAGTGTGTATTCATCCCAGATGCCCATTTTTGGATTGTGCCTTTGAATTTGAAGGGTGCAATTTCTTTCAATTCTTTGTATGTTCTACATAGAAGGCCTTAGAGGTCCCCTTGGACTCAGCTATCCCCTTCTGGGTATCTTCCTGGAGGAATTAGAAACATCATACTACAGTTATATACGTATACCTACATTTACAGTAGCATAATTTGTAATACCTGAATCTTTTAAACAACATAAATGACCATCAACATAGGAATGGATTTTAAAAAGTGGTCTTCTAATACAGGGGAATACTACTTAGCCATAAAGGACAGACTCAAGATATTTATAGGAAAATGGATGTAACTTCAATCATATTCACAAGTGAAATCAGACTCCCATATGTTAACATCACATCGTCTCTCTGGAGCGAGAAGCTGTACAACAGATACTGTGAAGTGGGAAGAAATTGTTCAAAAGCAAAGAGGACCTAATATGAGGAAAAAAGGAAAGGAAGGGAGGGGAAAGGAAAATATGACAAGATAGTCACGCCACCAGTTTCTCCTGGTTCACTGAAAAGTGTTTGTGCCAGTATAAATTTTATGCTCCTATTTTGTACTCTGAGCAACTACTTTGAAGACGATACATCATATATTATTATTATTCTCCTATCATTTTGTTATGAAATTTTTTCCATTAAAAAAGAATAAAGTATCAATAAAACTTTGAAAAGAAAAAAAAAAAGAATAAAGTATTCAGTAATTAGAACAGAAATATTGTGATTTTCTAAATATTTAAACGGAGAATACAAAAAATAGTAAAAAAAATCATTAAAAATAATACAGAATTTCACTACACAAAATGATAGGAATTCAACAATGGTTGTTATAGTGTATATTGTCTTCAAATTGGTTGTTCAGGTTTGCAGATATGACCCTAGAAGAATGGTCAAAAAATTATAAAAAATTAAAAAGAAAAAAATTTAAGCATTAGCTGCTCCTTTCAACAGGCCAGGAGAACTCAGCATACAGTTATCCAAGCTGCCCTACGTATGCACACACACATTTCTTCTTCCCTCTCTCCCTCCCTCCCTCCCTTCTCCTCCACCTAGCTGCTCTCCCGAGGAAGTTTCTTTCCCTTTCACAGTATCTACCACACCTTTCAGATTCTACTTACTCGGTCAGGTTCTTACGCTAGGGAGACGATATGGTGCTTACACATGTGGGTCTGATTATCTCACTTATGAGGATAGTCTCTAGTTGAATCCATTTACTTATAAAAGTCTCGAGTTTATCTTTTTTATAGCTGAGTAATACCCCATTTGATTATTTTTATGGAAATCTGGGACCTATTTATTCCAAAATCAAGTTTATTTAAAAGCAACTTCTACATAGGAAGACCCTGTCTCAACAAAACAAAACAACAAAATGAAAGCAACTTCAACTAGATGGAAATTAAATTTCTAATAAATTGAAAACTTCTGCTCCTCCAAATGGGCCCTGCTAAAAAACTGAAAAGACAATCATTCCCAGAAGAATATATTTGCAAAATAATACCTGACAGGGCTGGGGAGATAGCTCAGTGGAATAAGTGCTTGCCTGGCAAGCACAAGGTCCTGAGTTCTATCCCTGGTTCCATTAAAAAAAAAAATACCTGACAAAGGATTGGCACCCAGCATATACATAAAATATTCCTTTGAAATATGTCTTCAAAAAAGAACTGACAGATAAATAAAGGAAAGAGTGAATACAACGTGATAAAGCAAGCATACTTGTAGAGTTTAGGTGAAAACCTGTCTGAGCTCTGTTATATATTTGGACAATTCTTTTTTTTTTTTGCTCCGAGTGCCTTGAGGGCAGGTTTGGCTGGCTTGAGTTGTGGGGAACGAACCACAGCAACCTGAGCCTGACTGCTTTGTTGAAGCAGTGACTTAAAGAACTGAGCTAAGGGGCAGGCCCCCCTGTTTGGACATTTCGGTAATAATAAACTGTTCAAAACATTTCATCTTTCTACAATTAAGATTTAACTTAGTTTTCACCTAAGATTTAACTTTTCTTCATTATACCCAAGTTTTAATAAAAAACAAAAAAAAAACCTCTGTATTTAGAGAATGGAGATCATTTATTTCATTCAAGAAATAAGATACTCAAAGCTAACTATTTATGCTCTCAGGGAACACGTAATAACTTAAGACAACAAACAGACCTACTAATACATTTGAACAATCAGTCTCTTTACAAATATGTTAGTTTCCTCAGCAACAGAGCGTGAGCTTATTGAGACAACTGCAGATACACAGTGAGCAGGAAGAGTTGCAGACACCCCGGGCCGCTGGGCACCTAAAGGAGTTTGTGAAGAGCCGGGCTCCAAACTTAGTGGGCAGGCAGATGGCGCCACTTCAAACAATATAAATGGTGGCTCCTGGACACCTTTCAAGAAAGCAAGATAAGGAGATGAAACAGGCGGTTCCAGCATTAAAAAGTGTGTAAGATACAATGGAAGATTTATAGTTAAAATACGAGATTGTCATCCAGTGAAACCTAAAAATTATGTTTCACATAGATTATGTCATGTTAATTCACAAACCAACACTATGAGCTGGGTTCCATTATCAGCCTCTTTAATAAAGACAGGGAGACACAGAGAGGACTAGCAACTTCCTTAAGGTTACATAGTTATCAGGCAAAATAGATCCCAGAGAGTTATGATTTGTGTCTCGATGTCCCCCCAAAGCCTCCTGCGGTCCTGGGGCAGGCTTCTACAGTTTGTGGTTAATTCATGATCCAATGCTAAGATTATGGGTGTGAGTGCTGCACCCGTCCTGGGGCAGATAGTGTGTAGAGACAGAAGGAAGCGGGAAAGGCTTGCTAGCTGCCGCAGCTGGGGCTCCCTCATTTGCTTTTGCTGTTTTCCGCCATGAGAAATGGCTGCCCTCTGCCACGTGCCACTCTGCCTTGGAGCCAGCTGAATATGGACTGAAACCTCTACTAACTGAGCTAAATAAACCTTTCCTTCCTTCATTTTGGGTGTTGAGTATTTTGTCCCAGCAACGACAGAAAAGTAACTGAGCCACAGGTAAGTTCTCAGTCACGGAGTTAGGCTGTTCCTCCGGGTTGCGCTCCTCCTCGCCACAACCAGCACCCCAACTAGCAAAGGCTTCTCTTTATTACACAGGTAGCTTCAGACACAGACACACACGAGGGGCCACACCCTTAGGGTATGTCTGTCTCTTTTTCTCCACTTGCCATTCAAAGATTTGCGAAGGCAGCATTCAGAAAACTCAGCAAATGTTCACTGTTATTTTGTGCCTCAAAATAGTCTCGAAGGTTCTTTTTTTTTGGCGGAACCGGGGACCAAACTCAGACCCTTGCGCTTGCCAGGGAAGTGCTTATTCCACTGAGCCATCTCCCCGGCCCCTCCCAAAGGTTCTTACTCTTCGTGAGCTGTCACTATTACCAAGACTAAGTTTCAAAAAGATTTCAAGACTTCACACCTGAGGTGAGAGGCAACACGGTAGGTGGCACTCTTTGGGCTGCTCTTCTAATTTGATCCAAAATGTAGTATATGCTTTCTGGAGGCAGCTGAGCAAACAGACTATAAAGCAAATCCCACCTGCAATCTCACCACTCTTTACATTTGTGACTGTATGGCAAAATTTTTTTTTTTTTTTTTTTAGATTCTGCATTTTCTACTTAACATTACATCAATTTATCAACTTGTTTATGTTGCCACTTTTCCCCATCTTTTTTGAATCTATGTAGGATCCAAATAGCAGGCTGGGGCGATAGCTCGGTGGTCTAATCACCTGCCTGGCAAGTGCAAGGACCCGGGTTTGATCCCTGGTACCTCATGCTGTCCTGGCCACCTAAACCAGATATGGTGGTGCATGCCTGTAATCCCAGAGCTGGGGAGGCTGAGACAGGAGGATTACTGAGTCTGAGCTGCAATAGTGAGACCCTGTACCAAAAAAATAAATAAAAGATTTTAAAAGAAAAAAAGATCCAAATGCCCAGTGGGTTGGGACCAATAGCTTAGAGTTCTCACCAAGCAATATGCAATTGATACATTCAAGTCCCATTTAGACTCGAACCTGGAGTGCTCACTGTACAAAAACAAGGTAAGGACAGCAGGCTCCTGAGTCAGGTGCCTGGGTCTGCACCCTGGCTCTACCACAGACGAGGTGACGCCTAAACATATTTCTTCCTGGTGGCAAGCGCAAACATCTAGAACGAATTAAGAAGCCTGTGTGCCATCCTACATGTATTCTGCTTCAGCCAGATGGAAAAATGAGTAGAGGCGGTGTTTCTACACCTCCATCACGGCAAGGCCCTCTTTGGTTTGATCCTGGCGCAGTCACTTCTATGTCTGAGACCCAGCACTGGCTCCTTGGCGTCACAGGTGAAGAGAGCACTGCCTGCACTCACAGGGTAGGATGTAGTCAGAGGATGCACACTACGTGTGTGCACAGGATCGACACCTAGGCAGCGCCTGGTAGATGGAAGCTACTGTCAGCACCGCTCAGACAGGGGGAGACACGAGCTCTGCCTCAGAAACGTAATGTTGGGACCAGCACTTAGGGCAGTCTGAGCAAAGAGGAGCTACCAACAGCGTACATGGTTCTCCCAGACTCGAGCTCACGGGAACCACAAAGGTTGGCAGAATTTTACTCATCCTTCAAAACTTGGTCAGCACAGACCTCTAGCAAAGCAGAGACTATTAATATCGGATTACTTAACATGAAAGTACAAAATCCACCAACTGTAAAAATATATTTAACATGAAAATTACACAAAATATTAAACATTTTAAAACAACTTACAGTCTCAAAAAATATTTGCATCATGCGGGCTCTCTTTTCTTCTGCACTCAGTCCTTTTTTCTTTGACTGAAACACAAAAAAGGTAAATGCGGCCTTTATTAAATATGGGGTTTCAAACAGCATTACATGGAGTTTTACGCATGGTCTTACCTGCTATCAACAGGTTTGACACTCTCAGCATCAGGTCTCACATGTCATTTTAGCTATGTGTCAATCTCCATGACTTGGGAGATGTCATAGCAAGAAAAGTGATTAAGACAGCGCCTGGCACTCTACAGATATATATTTATAAAGTAAAGTACTGGTAAGTAACTATATTTACCTTGAAAAGGTTTATAAACTCTAAGAGTCACTTACATACAACTAATGAAGAGCTATAGGCAGAAATACCCAGAACAGAACAAATGAATTCCACCCTGAGGAAGAAGGGAGCCCAGAGGTGACAGGGGCTCTGGTCACCTGAGAGCCACTGAGGAGGGTGCCTTGGGCAGGCCACACAGGTGGGGCAAGAGCTCCAACAAAAACAGCTGTCTGCTGCTGTAGGAGTTGGTGTGGGGTGGCAGAGTAAAAAGAAGTGAGGAGATAAGAATGAGATCAGAGGTGACTGGAATGAGACCTGAGGCATCGCGATGGCCTGAGGCAAACGGTGGAAGGTTCACTGGGAGGAGAGTGGCTTCCATCCTACAATGGACAGCTATGGAGTAATTTCTAGCGCAGGGCGTATCAAGGTTAAAGGGCATCCTAGGATCATAATTGTGGTACTAACGTGAAGAGAAGGCTAGAGGAAGGGAAAGCCTATCCAGGCAGAAAAGCAGAGGCCACCTTGAAATGAGGGTAATCAATATATAGCTGGAATGTACAAATAATACATTTACCATTTATTATATATAAAATATATGTGCATATGGCTAAAATTCTACTTCTTTAAAAAAGAGCTAAATTTCAACTCAAAGATTTGCAGAAAAGAACAAACTCTAAACAGTGGAAGGCATCATCTCTAGCTCTCTAACACAGAATTCCACACCAATCTTCCTTCAGTGATCTGCATCTTAAGGATTTGATGGGACCTAGGAAAACAAACCATTTGTTTATAAAGCAGGCACAACAAAGACGAAGCTGTTCAACTAAAAACTCCACGGAAAATGGCCACCTATGACACACAGGAAAGGAAATCAGACGGCTATTCTGACTACATACTTTAGTGTGTGAGCCTATGAGTTCTCCACAGCCCAGCAACTCATTGCAATAGATGATCACATGTTTTTTGTAGTCTCATGAATAAATAATACTAAAAATTTGTCTTTCTCTCTTCATCCTCTTCCCACTCTCAAACACTGCAGTTCCTCAGGTTTAGCTGTGGATCCCCCACCTACACACCTCTTCTCTTTGCTCTCACCTGCTTTCGTGGCTTTAATCAACACTTGAGTTGAAGCCTCAAACCCTCCCATCCATCCCTGGGCGTGCTCCCGCATGTCCTCCGTCGGGACTTCCTGTCCCACACCTACACCCACATCTGCCATCTGGCTGTCCATCCCAGAGGTGCCGCAGTCATCCTAGGCTCCTTGTCTCTGACTTCCCTCCACCCAAGCACCCAGTTCTGCCAATTTCAGTGCTGACTGCTTTTCTCCTGTCCTGCCACCACTCTCCTGGTTCAGAGCTTCATTACCTAGGCCAGCAACACACTTCCAGTCACCTCACTGGGACACTGTCTCACCTCCACATTCACCTTTCACACTGTGAACTGAATCTGACCATCTATCCCTTGCCCTTGCTGTGGCTCCCAACCACCAGAAGTATCCACGCACTTCTTGATGGTACAGAAGGCCTTCTATCTCCTCACTGCAACCTGCCTGTCTCAGCCACTCTTCACCTCAAGTTCTGCCATAAAATAGCATGAGCTAAGCAATTTGGGTTGTAATTTGAAGACTCCCTTCTATTAAAAGCAAGTTCTACCTTCTGTGCCTTTTAAAAAATGCTGTTCCTCCACCTAAAACTGGTTGTTTGTGTACTCAAATTTCAGAATGTTGCCAAAGGCCCTGTCAGGGATGCTTTGCGCAGAGCTTCCCAGAGCCCACAGGCTAAGCCTGCTTGAGGGACACACTTTCATCAAATCATTTACTACACTGAGATGAGTTTCCTTATTTCTGCTCAGCGGACAGAAACACTCCAGAATATGAAATGCTTTAGCCTTCCCTGGCCTTAGTGAACCAGGTTACACAGCTGGCCCAAATGGTAGGTGTCCTCAGCCCTAAGAGCAGAGGCTGCTCAGGCTCCCAATCCTGCCCCACTGCCACAGTACTTATGTGGGATGAATTAACAATGGGAAATCTGTGGTAACTACCCACTGCCTTGCTTGAGGAAAAAACTGAGAGAAATCTCAGGTAGGCAAGCTCCAGGAAACGGCATAGACCTGTTCACTAAACCTAGGGCTCAGAGCTAGACTCCAGGACTACTTATCCCTCTCTCTTCATCTGGGCCTCCAGTGGGATCTGGAGATCAAGCATGAGTTGCATCCCTTGGTAGCTGGTTCCTCGGTGCATTTCTCCATTCCAGGGGGTCTAAAATTACCATATATTAGAATCACTTCAGGTGCTTTTTCAAAAATATGGGAGCCCAAGCACATCCTGTATGAACCAGGCATGTGTATTTTAGCAGTCCTAAAATATGAACTTAATATTCTAAGGCATTTTAACTGTGCCCATGACTTGCGAATTATTTTTCCCTCAAACTAAAATCTGGATGACCTTGGGGTTCTACGGGGGCAGTAAAATCCCTAAGTTAATTTGACTAGGACAACTTTGGCAGTGTAGTAAAGGCCCCTAGCACTTTGGGAGCATAAACAGTTTCCGGAAAGCCCCTTGCACTCCACCCTGCTGGCAGAGGCAGGCAACAGTAATGGGAGTCTAGCATCCCAGGGCATAGTTTTGGGGAAACTCTCAACATTCAGCAGCTTACAAAAACAACCCAAGAAATGCAGCTGTACACGTAGTGCTTTCAGACTGCCTTACTCTCCAATCCCTTTTATGACCAGATAACTTCTGTTACTACTTGCAATAGGAGTATTATGGCCAGAATTAAAGACTATAAAAGGATGTTGTATTACTATCTGCATTTTAAAACTTTCAAGAAAAAAATGAACAAGGATTTATTTAGTGGTTTTTTTTTTTTTTTCGGAACTGGGGATTGAACTCAGATCCTTGCGTTTGCCAGTCAAGTGCTTATCCTACTGAGCCATCTCCCCGGGCCCCATTTAGTGCTTATGACTAGGAAAACTACTCTCATAGTGTGTGAGTCAAATTAGTAAGGAGGTTAGAAACTTGGCCTGAAGACTATGATGCTTCTTGATTAACCCAAAAAATTTAAAACACTTTAAAAACCTCACCTCGGGCTGGGGAGATATCTCAGTGGTCTAAGGGTCTGCCAGGAAAGTGCAAGTAATGGGTTTGATCCTTGGTATCCCATGCTGTGCTGGCCCCATGGCCCCACCCCGGGCACGCCAAGCCAGCCACAGAAACCAGGTGTGGTGGCACACACCTATAATCCCATTGCTGGGGAGGCTGAGACAGGAGAATCTCTAGGAGTCTAGGAGCTGCTTAGTGAGACCCTGTTAAAGAAAAAAAAAAAGGTCTTGGGTCTAAGGAGTTTAGAGTTTATAGAATTCCTAGTACTACCTTTGTTGGTCAATTACAATAAAACTTCGGAAAAAAAAAGATGTTATCTGCTACCCTGAGTTACACTTCTCCAATTCCAAAAATATGACTGAACTCACAAGTTTACCCAAAAAAACAAATCAAAAGTTAACTGACAATGAAGAAAGAGGGTAAAAATCTGTCTTTTACCAACATCACACTAATCTTTCTCGATCAGGTACCTGAAGAGCAAGTACTTATCTAAGAAGTTTTATTTGTCTCAGATTCCCTAAAGCAGATGCATCTCTATGGAGACGCAGCAGCACGTTAAATCATGCACTATCAAGGAGATAACGGTGCACAAAGACGAGCTAGGAGCAGGAAGCGACGCGGTGCGCAGACCTCAGCAGTCAGCTACATTCGGCGCCAACGCTACACGGCGCCATCTGCCAAGCACCAGCAGCAGACCCGTTTGAAGCCTGAGGCGGTGGCTTCTTGGACCATCGTCTGCCCAGGTGACTGACTGTGTTGGTAGTTTAACCACAAAGCAGCCGTTTTCAGTTAAAACACAGCTGGGCGGGTGTCTGCCTATAAACACCGCGCCCCAGGCCCCCGTCCACCCAGCTAACTGGAGGAATTAAAACCCCAGCTCCCTTTCATCACTGATTTTTTTCTAACTGAAGCAGAAAAAACCCGGCACGCTCTGCGGGTTGGAAACGCTGTGGTGCGCAGAGACCTCAAGGGCTCAGCCTGGCCGCGCGGCGGGACTCGAGCCCGGGCCGGGAGGCCGAGCCCCGCCAGCCGCGCGCGAAGGGAAAGCGCGGCCTTCGCAGCAGCCGCCCGGCCCCTCCCCGTGGCGCTGGGGGGCGGGGGGAATTGATGCAGGGCTCCTGGCAGGGGACGCCCAGGCCGCGGGCACAGATGCGGGCCGCCCGGCAGGGGACGCCCAGGCCGCGGGCATAGACGCGGGCCGCCCGGCAGGGGACGCCCAGGGAGCGGGCACAGATGCGGGCCGCCCGGCAGGGGACGCCCAGGCCGCGGGCACAGACGCGGGCCGCCCGGCAGGGGACGCCCAGGGAGCGGGCACAGATGCGGGCCGCCCGGCAGGGGACGCCCAGGCCGCGGGCACAGACGCGGGCCGCCCGGCAGGGGACGCCCAGGGAGCGGGCACAGATGCGGGCCGCCCGGCAGGGGACGCCCAGGCCGAGGGGCGCGGGGCGGGCCGCGCGCAGACCTGGAGCCCCGCGAGGGAGGCGAGGCCGGCGTTCCGCGCCGCGCGCAGGGGACCAAGCAGTCCCGGGGCGCGGCCTCGGCTCTTACCATGGCGCGGAAGCCGGGCCTTCCGGGGACCCGGAGAAGGCCTGCGTGGGCGAGGAGCGCGTTTGATTTTGGCGCCAATCGCTCGGGCGGAGCAGCGACGGAAGCAGCACAGCGCGCGGCGACCCCTGGCGGCTCCGCAGAGCGCCGAGCGGGAGGAGGGGCGGGGCCCGCAGGGGGCGGAAGGTTGAGCTGGGGCCCTGGTGGGGGGCGGGGCTTGGGGCGAGTAGTGGGCGGGGTCATGGACGAGGTGCGGCCACGTAGGGGCGGGGTCTGTCCCTGCCCGGGCCTGGATTGGACGGAGGGTGAGGCCTGAGTGTGGGCGGGGCCTACGGGTGGTCCGGTGCGCCGGTGGGCGGAGAAGAGTAGAGCCCTCGTTTTCGCTCGGGCCTTCGCTGTCTGACCTAAATTTGGACTAAGACGTACAAGGCTTGGCTGCGGGGGAAGAAACCGCTGCCTTGGCCGCCCTGACCCTTTCTCTCCTAGTCACTCCTGCTTCTCCCATGCGACGATCCCCTGCTTTTTCAGCTTTAAAAAGCTGTCCTATGCTTGATTTTCCCCTTAGATTTATTTTTAAGTAGCCACAATGATTTTAAAACCAGAAGGGTTGAAAACACACTACCTGGGCCGGCAAAATAGCTCGGCGGATCAAAACGCCTGCAAGCAGACTCAGGAACCGCGGTTCGATCCCCAGGGCAAGTGGAGACTGGGGCGATTGAGACTGGGCATGATGGCGCGCTCCTGTAATCCCAGCTCTTGGGAGGCTGTAAACAGGCGGATCACTACGAATCCAATCTAGTAGTGAGACCCTGAACACCCTGTAGACCCTTCCCTAAAATACAAAAAAAAAAAAAAGCAAGAAAAGAAAATACACTGCCTGATGATAGCTATCATGATAGTAAAACTAAACAATGGCGTCTAAAAAGGTATTTGCAGACCTTGTTGCTTCTTACACAAGCAGGAGAGTGCACCGAGTTCCAATCAGTTTTTCCTGAAGTGCACAGGACAGGATTCTGAACTAGCAAATTGATAACCAAAGAATATGTTTAATATGCACCGGAGAAAATATTACACATAGTATTGTGTATTTTCATACACTGGCCATCATATGGCCAAAGTATGTGTTTATGTCAGTTTAAAGAAAAGAATTACTGCCCTGGTGACATAGCCGAGACGTTTGTGGGCGGTCTCATCTTACTGTCCTGAGATTACCTTGTGTCTTTCGTCCCATCACCTGGAGCACTCTTCTTTATCCTTTAGATAGTTCAGCTGTTGACTCTGGGAATCCTGTCTCCCAGTGCCGCCTAAAGAGTGGTCTCAGAGACCACAGAAGGCAAAAGGCTTCTGCTTGTTTCTTGCTCCAGGCCCCATACATTGTGCAGCTGTCTTTATCATATTCATCTGTCTCATCCCAGTAGACCAGAGTTCTATGCCAACAGGGACTTCCTTGTTTACTGCTATTTTCTACTAGCTAGAACAGTAATGGAACGTAGTGTGCCAACAAGTATTTGTTAATGCCCCCACAGAAAAGTAGCTCACGGTAGTCCAAGTATCTGGTCTGTCTGACTGGACTGTAAGCTACTGGCCAGTGCAGGCTTCACTACTCGCCTTTGTGTGCCTTGTGCTTACCCGAAGGTCTAGTGTCCACAGGCACCTGCAGTTGTTCAGGGCCTCAGCAAGGAGAGAAAGAGCAGTGGCTTGACGGAGGCTTGGGTGTCGATTTGCCAGCTGCCTCTCCACTCAGGCGGCAACAATCTGCAGCTCTGGTTCCTCTGCGCTAGAAAAGGGCACTCTAGCTTTATATGGCATGTGTTCCCAAGGGGTCACCTGAGATACATTATATTGATATGCAGGCCAAATGGCCTGTGAGGTGTTCCATCCAGTCTCTGAGTCTGAAAACCTGCAAAGAACCCTCAGCAGCAAGGGTAACTCTAGGGTTGAATAAGAAAATTGAAGGATTCGGGAACATTACTGTAGGCTGGGGAGGCAGCTCAGAGGCATAGTTCTTGCCTGGCAAATGCAAGGCCCTGAATTTGATTGCCAGTACCCCCCATAATAGTATTAATGTTCCCAATTAGTTATCAGTAATACTATGTTTGGACTTTGAAAACTTAGGTTGTTTTCATCTTTCTATTTAAGGCTTAGATCATCTTTGTCAGAATTCCAATATCTATTGATGTGTTTAGCCCTCTAAAAAATAAAGAAACCCTTCATTATTCACAAAGGATACTTTACCATTCAACGTAAAGTGACAGTGTGTTCTCGCCCAAATTCTTTAAACTGAATTTTAGGGTTTATTGCACCATAGCAAATACAAATCAGAATCTTAATTATTTAAAAGTCGATACATCAGGAAAAATAAGTTGCATGCAAATATGTAAACATGCAGAGCAAGCCAATGACTTGCTCACAATCATCAAAAAGCTGAGATTCCTTTATGGGAATACAAAGAACAAGTCCAGACACCAGTCAGAATTGTGGGAAAGACACTGGCCTGTAGACAGGGCCTCTAAAATGGCAACTTTGACATTATGAATAGAGATTATATTTAAGAAATGTTTACTTGAATTTGAGAAAGACTGTGGAAAACTGAGCAGTGGGCTTTTCCAGAGATTGAATGGCCAGAGAACTGCACAGATGTGCCTGAATGGTTGGAGTCCTGTTTGAAATGTGCCACCCACAGCTTGATGAAACACTGAATTGTTTATTGGAATGAATTCCCTGTAATTAAATTCTGGGGCCTAAAGATAATGTTGTTAATGAGGTCCCTCTTGAGTTTTTCCCTTGCTTTTAGTATGTCCACAACACCCGCCTGAGTCTACATCTTATGATCCTTCAAGGGTGATAAGGACAGTGTTTTTTAAAATCCATTTTTATAACTTTCTAAATATACATGGTATACATATGTTAGGGATTCCCAAATTCTTGTTGAAGATAGAGTCCATACATGATGAGCGATGCAACAATTTTACTAAACTTTTTCTCACTAATACAGACAGTTTGACTCAGGTATTGCTTGCTCTCTTGCACATATTCTAGAACATTCCTACAATCCACTTCACTCAGGGGAACCATCTGTTAAATAATCATTCACCCTAGATAAGGAGAAAACAAGCTTTATTGTAATGATTTGAGATTTTGTGCATGGTAAAGATACACACATGAATCTTGTTTCTCCTATGTTTCAAGACAGAATTAAAGTTTTATTGTAGACTAAAGCATCCAAAATACTGCAGTACATATGTAGCTACGAACATACAACACTTTGATGCACAGCATTCATTCTCTTCTTTAAATAGGCAGTCAGCATTTGGATTCATAAAAGAACAAATGATGAGAATATATCAGTATCAGTGTCAAAGAGCGCAAAGACTTAAGGGTTCACAAAACATATGAAACAGATTTATAAAGATGGAATGTAAAAAAACCGAAAAAGAAAACAAAGCAAAAAATCTTCATAATCGTACATAATATCCAAAGGCTTAGAACTGAGAATGATAGAAAGAATTCTACTACAAGAACACCCTCTGATGATGACAGAACATTCCAATGTCATAAAGCAAAAGCATTGAGTTTAAGGCTGTGTTGCTTTCAAAAGTTAATGGAAGTGCTGTACATTCATTGGAACAACAGCCGATTTATTAATCTATTCTATAATATTAATTAATAGCTTTCATACATTCTGCACAAACAGACCACACAATCACTGCCACACAATTCATCTTTAAAAGTTTTTAAGATTAGCATCATGATTTGTAGCTTTCTGTCATTTAAAACGAAACAAAAATTATTTATTTATATCAAACAAATCTTTAATGGGCACTTAAGTTTCCTTTATGGCAATACTAGATATTCCTAGTTATCAAAAATATTAAAGTAATTGTAAAGTTTAAAACCCTGCAACATTTACAGAAAGCAATAGTATTAAGACTTTTTCCATTTTAAGCAGGATTAGGTAAGGTTTGCATCCAATGGTTTCAACTTCCTCTTCTCTGGCAATGTCTTGTTTTTTGACTCTTCAACTAAAAACGCTTCTCTCTTTTCATAAGCTGGTTAATAGAGAGGAAGAGAGTTCGAGTGTATGAAACCCTTCTTCTTGCTTGAAGTAATTCACAAGATTAGCTGATGTTGACCTGCTAGTTCCTCAAATTGACCCGGAAGGTGCTACTACCAAAACATCGGTGGCCCTCCTTCAGTGGAAGGACCCCTGAACCCTTGCCAGTGTACTGCCATTCCAGGTAATTCCACGGGAAGCCATACCCTGTATTCAGTAATGGAAGCGAGTGTGCAATAGTTGCAAGGATCTAGATTATTTATTTGCTTTAATCTAGTCATAGACTAAATGAAAATAAGGAAACTTACTTAGTTATGGGGACTAAAGTTTCACCAAAATACTATGTACCATTTAAAAAATGGCCCAAGAGTCACAAAGGCTTTTTGTTCATGTGTTTCCTTCCAGGTGGTCACGTGGCGCCCCACCTACCTTCCCGTGGCCAGCAGGGGAGGTTTGTGTTGGGAGAGGACACACTGTCACTGACCTTGAAATTCTAACTGGTAATATTTTGCCGGAAGTGCCCAGGAGAAATCTGAATGAGTATTTTTTCAGCGCTACTTATCATGAATGTACCACAGGTTCTATACACTTGACAAAGAAATCAAACAATAATGGTAGCCCAGAAAAAAAGCCACTTACTTTAATATCCTTCTCAGTTTACCAGAAACCATTTTATAGAATGTGACAAAATTTCACCTCAATCTTGTCTTATTTGTATCTTATAAGCAGCACTTTCCCCAAAAATATGCTTACCAAGAAATACAGTAAATGCACATATGTATTCAGATGGGAAATGTTATCTATAACACACATGATTACATATGTTTGGGGAAAAAGTATAATATTTCCTGGAGCGCCCATAGCATGTGTTTTAATAAGAGATGGTGGAACAGACCCAAACCAAGCCATCTAGTCCTTTATTCCAATTTGTGACGTGTAAAGAGAAGAACAGCTTTGTGTTCAACCTATTACTAAGATTTCTAGTCTGATATGATACAGTGGCTGATTAGCTTATAGGTTTAATTTCTAAGTTCATAAACATTTGAATTTGAAAAAAGCTTCTTTAGGTAAACTTGTTTTAAAATTAAGGGTTAAGAACACAGCTCAGTGGGTAGAGTACTTGCCTAGCACGCATGGAAACCTAGGTTCAATTTCTAGCACCAAAGAAAAAGAAAAAGTCTGTGACAATCTAATGGAAATGCATCTCTACTCGTGAAAGCAAACTATAATTTAACCAGTTTAAAAAAGTTTTCTTTTAAACAGCCCAAGGATTATCAAGGATCCATCCTATCTTTCAGGCAGAACATGAGCAAGTTGCAAGATGTAATTTCTTCCCCAGAGTGTGAGGTCCAATTTTTTAAATTCTAAAAATTAGAATTGGTAAATTTGATGACTTTATCACAGACAGGCTTTTATATTTTAAAGTCTACGTATATAAAAAAAAATACTAAACCTAAATGTTAATCTTCCTGAAAAAAATTTTTCAGTTTCTGATTTGGGCATAATAAATTTAATAGAGAACTGGAAGTAGCTAGACTTCCCTTCTAAATCTTACAAAGTTTTATATAGAGAATGACTGCATTTTCAGTCAATAAGCAATAATTGTCACATTCATATAATAATAGGTACAAGAAATGCTTTCTTATATACAGTTCTAAGGTGCTTTCACTGAAAAAGATCACAAGTCATTACTGAAAATATCAAACGCAACCCTGTATTTGGTATAACTGAGTAGAAAATTAAACAGAGGAAATAGACCGAAGCTTCTTGTACAGTATCAATGACAGGTGAACAACTGTCCGAATTGTTAACAGGCCTCAAAATGCATTTAGAAATTAAATGCAATTCAACGTTCCATCTTCCTTTTTTCTTTTCTTCTTTGTTTTCTTCCTTCAAAAGCACAGAAAACCATTTTCGGACTAAACGTCAGCCACCATCATTCTTTCTGGAAAATGGGCAAAAAAATTAAACCTGCCTTAGGGTTTGCTCCTCGAGGGTGGGTTCACTCCTCGAGGGTGGGTTCAAGCTCCATTGGTAAAGGAATGGGCTCAAGAATGGCTAGATAATGCTTCTGTCTTCCACAGTGCTGCCTATTTCAATACTCCAAAGATTCAGCTATATATATATATAGGCATATATTATACATTCTATCTTACCCTAACCATGTGTACATAGTTCCTTATACCTCTACTAGTCATTTAGCAATGATAAATAACCATGACATGCCCTTACCTGTAATGCTCTCGGGATAACAGAACTTTGGTAACACTTGCTCTCTAAGGGGAAATCATGAATCAATCACATGCCTTTGGTTGCCACCATCAGTCCTCCAAAGGGCTCCTTATGGCTCTCTGTCCTAGGATCCTGGTGTCCTACTACATGTGCTGACATTCTGCAGGAGGTAAAGCTTTCGCTTTCATGAAGTGGAAGAGGAAAGACACGTGAACACATGGCACATCGAATGGACTTTTCCCAGTAACATCCCAGGATGTTAATCCGGAGCTTTTCATCCAACACAAGGTAGCATTTCTTTTTGTAACAAATTTTCAAAGCGTCAGGAATTTCAGGTTTCCCTGAAAATGGACTTCGTTTCTTGATAACAAGGTGAGCAGGAAAGGTGAAAAGAATAAACAGAGATGATCTTGATCTAACCCTGAAAGGTTAGGAAATTTGCATTGATTCTTAAGTGCTCAACTCGAGAGGGGCCCACTGCTCGGAGCTGAAAGGATTTTGCAAGACAGCCTTAAAGTAATTCATATGCAGTCACTGATAACCCAGAAATGTCACAAGAGTAACACCTATTGCTAAAGTGAGGTTAGAAGCTTCCCTCGGTCCTGTGACCTAGGTAAAAAAAAGTATGTAAGGACAACAGATTCTGTTTTTGGAAGCTCTGCACAAAGGTGCCCATTCACAGGATTAACAAGTATCTTTACATATGCTAGGATTTATTTTACTGTTTGTTTTGCAAAATTAGTTGAACTACATAAATCCCTGTCCTCTAAGCCATAGTTCACAGGTGTAAAACTTTGCAGCTTTCAAAGATTCAGAAGAGCTGTTTGTTTGTTTAAATCCTAAAGGTGAATTCTAGAAACTGGATAAGGAGTTTTTAAATAAATTGTTACATTCAGAAATAACCTTGGAAAGTTCACCAAAGATTCCTTCTAGCATGAAAAGTCTGGTTCATAATCTGGTCCCATGTCAAGAAATCCATTCCAGTATAGTGCAAGACCTTCAGAAGGGGTGTCCAGCTGGAGGCTGTTACTGTAAGTATCGGTAGACTTTGAAACAATGGTTTCCAGAGTCTGCAACTACAACATGACCATCTGAGGTTAGAGCCAGGCCTTGGGGGCCGTAGAGGGGGTCAGCAGATGTGTTAATGTAGGATAAAAATGATCCACTCCCATCAAAAACCTGTAAAAGTGACAAGTCAGAGCATTAGAGAGGTAGGTTGTAATATGCTGAAGTGCATTAGGAAACTGGGGACACCAACGTCCATCTAAAGGCACGTAAAGAGCCCCCCAGGTTTGCTCAGCTATGGCCGTACACACAACTCATCCCTCCACTTCTGCTTTCTCACCTCCAGCTCCTGGCCCAGAGTCACCAAAACAGCATGCCTGGGCCACCAGGTCACACCCTGTTCCTACAGTGGTCACGCAGAGGCTGGGTGGAATGGTCCTCGCTGGAGCTTGGAAAATGAATGCCTTTTAGTTCTCATGCTAAGCCTTCTTTCCTTCCAGCCTCTCAACCCCTTTTCATGCCCAATTTTATGGGAGAAAAAGCAGCAGCTAAACCATAAGAGAATGACCCTGAAACGTAACATGCTGCAACAAAATTGAGATGTCTTTTTCCATTTTGAGAAAAAAAAGGTGTAAGAAGTCCGTGGCTCCACATGTGTGTTTGGAGAGGAAATGGTCTCTTTGTGGTCTATTTGCTTCTACTGTGAAAAAATAAGAGGGAAACATCCAGGTCCACACACTTGTCCCCCTTCCTGAGGTTCTGCTGTTTCATTGAACCCCTTTGTTGGCCTGTGTGGGGTTTTAAAGGCAATGTCACTGGGTAGGTCCTACAAGGGCGTGGCTTAGCAGCTGCAGTCCTCTGTGGACCTGCTTTGAGCTCAGCTCCCTGCCTGGCTTCTGGCTTCTGGCAACACCAGACCCTCGGGCCTCCTCATGAGACACAGAAGTCTTTCAATGCATGCGTTTGTGGGAATCAGTAAACAAGGTAAACATGGTGACGAAATCAAAGCCTTCTGGGTTGTATCTGTCGCCTCAGTCCTCCTGCTGAGAAGCAGTTGCCTCTGTCTAATTTCAATGGATGAGCATGGCTGCCCTCACACTGAAGGCCCCTAGATGTAGCTGCGCCCTGCGGGTCCCTGGTGCATGGAGGGGAGGGGCGCCACTGCCAAGAGCGTGGTGGCATCCACGCAGGTTCAAGCACAGAGAACCCGGGGCAAGAGCTTCCTTACAAGAGTCTCTCTTATTGTTTTCTGTATACAGTGTAAATCTTTGGGGGTGGGGGTGCAGGGAGCGCCGTGGGTTGAACCCGCGGCCTTCACACTGAGCTACATCTCCAGCCCTTCCGATTCTTTATTTTCAGGTCTTGCTAAGTCCCTACATGCCCAGGCTGGGCTCAAAGGTGTGATGTTCCTGCCTCGGTCCCACAGGTGTGCACCATCACGCGCAGCTGTGTACAACTGAGACTTTTATGCAGCTGGGATCACTTTGGCAGCCTGGCAAGCTACAGACCCCATCTCAGAATTGTGCTGTGATGCTTCCCCTAACCCTAGAATGCAACCAATTTTATTAGCTTTTAATATTCAACCATAATCCCAAATGCCATCCATGATACCATTATTCCCAAGCCATGAAGGCAAATTCACCATCATTAATAAAATGTTTTTTAATTAGCTCTTTATTTTGAGGTACTCATACACTTGCAGGAACTTGCAAAGGTAATGGAGATTCCCTTTATCCTGCACCCGGTTTGAGTCCACGTTCACCTCTTCTACAATGACACCACCACATAAAACCCCACACATTCACTTTTGAGATGTATAAAGCCAGCAAGTCGTTTTATCATGTGTGTGTGTGTGTGTGTGTGTGTGTGTGTGTGAACGTCCTCATGTCACAATCGACACTATCCCATCATCACAAAGCTCCCCCCAGCGAACCCTTGATAGTCACACTGGCTCCCCATGCTCCCTCCCACCATAACCTTTGCTACCCAACACAAACTATTTTGCTCCTCTATAATTCTGTTACTCTGACGGCATCACATAGGTGGAATTGTACACTATGTGACCTTTGCAAAGTGGCTGTCTCCACTCAACAGCATGCTGGAGACGCACCTCGGTTGTTCATGTGCTACTAGTCATGAACTAGTGTAGTATGGAAATACTACACTTTAGCCATAAACCAAGTGCTGGCAAGGTTGGCGGTTTTCAGGTTTTGGCAAATACATCTACAAGCAATAATGTACAGCTTCTGCGTGGGCA